GAAAACTACAGTGTATGAGATAATGAATACACTCAATAGGATTAACAGCAAATTAGACCTTATACAAGACATGCTTAGTGAACCTGAAAATGTAGCAATAAAAACTATCCATAATGAAACACAGAAAAGAAAGACAAAAAATGAGTTAATAAAACGTAGGACAACGTCAGATAGCCTATTATACATATAATTGAAGTCCCAATGCAGAGGAAATTGGGGGACAAGAAAAATACTTGGAAAAATTATGACCCAAAAATCTCCAAACTTGATGAGAATTATAAACCTACAGAGTCAAAAAGTTCAACTAACCGTAAGCACAATAAATTAAAAAAAAAAAATGCACCAGTACACATTATAATCACATTGCTCAAAACCAGTGATAAATCTTAAAACAGCCAGAGGAGGGGAAAAAAGACATATTATCTACAAAGGAACAAAGATAAGACAACAGATTTCTTGTTGAAAACAGTGCAAGCAAGGAGACAGTTGTGCCACATCTTTAAATGACTAAAAGGTATATATATATATCTCAACCAAGAGTTTCTATTAATGTATCCAGCAAAAGTAGTGCTCAAAAACAAAGACCAATCAAAGACTTTTCCAGTAAACTGAAAGAATTCATTACCTGTAGAACTACTCTTTGAGAAATTTAAATGACATCATTTAAGCAGGAAAGAATGATACCAGAAAGAAATAGGAATTTACACTATGTGGGTTTTTCTTAATATAAATCTCTTTAGAAATCTCTATATTTATATAAAGATAACTGACTAGACTGGGTGCAGTGGCTCACGTCTGTAATCCCAGCACTTTGGGAGGCCGAGGCAGGTGGATCACCTGACGTCAGGAGTTCAAAACCAGCCTGGCCAACATGGCGTAACCCCGTCTCTACTAAAAGTGCAAAAATTAGCCAGGCATGGTGGCTCACACCTGTAGGCCTAGGTACTTGGGAGGCTGAGGAAGGAGAATTGCTCGAACCCAGGAGGCGGAGGTTGCAGTGAGCTGAGATCACATCACTGCACTCCAGCCTGGGCAACAGAGCAAGACTGTCTCAAAAAAAAAAAAGAAAAAAGACTAAATAAATGATAATGATAAACTACGGGGATTATAACATATGTAAAAATAAAATATATAACAACAATAGCACAAAGGTCAGGAAGGGAAGAACAGAAGTACAATGTTATAAAGGTGTATGTGAAATGGTATTCTAGCTCTTGACAGTAGATTGTAATAACTTAAAAATGTATTCTGTAAATCCAAAGCAAACACTAAAATAATGGAGTTACAGCTAATAAGTCAATGAAAGCTATGAAATAATATAATAAAAATATCAAAAAGAAAACAGAAAGTGAGTAAAAGTGAAATAACAAGACCACAGGTTTATATTTAACCATATCAATAATCACATTAAATGTAAATGGTCCACATACCTTCATTAAAATACAGATATTTTCAGTTGTATTTAAAAAGTTAACTCCACTTACATGCTGCCTGAGAGAAGTGTACTTTAAATATGAAGACATGTATCAGTTAAAAGTAATGGGATGGAGAAAGATATGTCATGCTAAATGAAAAGAAAGCTGGGGTGGCTGTAGTAATCAAAGTAGATTTCAGAGCAAAGACTTTCAAAGATAAAGACGGTCATTTCATAACGATAAAAGTCAGTCAAGAGGACATACAGCACTAAATATTTATACATATAATAAAGCTTCAAAATACTTAAGGCAAAAATGATAGAACTACAAAGAAATAAGTCTACAGTTTTTGTAGATTTCAATACCCCCCCTTTTCAAGTTGATAAAACCATAGACAGAAAATCAGTAAGAATATATCAGATTTGAATCACACTGTCAACCAATTTGACCTGCTTGACATATATAGAACACTCCAAAAACAGCAGCCTACACATTCCTTTCAAGTGCACATTGAACATTTGCCGACATAGACCATATTCTGTGTCATATACAAGTATTTGGCCAGGCACAATGGCTCACACCTGTAATCCCAGCAGTTTGGGAGGCCGAGGTGGGCAGATCACCTGAGGTCAAGACCAGCCTGGCTAACATGGTGAAAACCCATCTCTACAGAAATACAAAAATTAGCTGGGCATGGTGATGCACACCTGTAATCCCAGCTACTCAGGAAGCTAACACAGGAGAATCACTTGAACCCGGGAGGTAGAGGTTGCAGTGAGCCGAGATCATGCCATGGCATTGCACTCCAGCCTGGGCGACTGAGCGAGACTGCATCTCAAAAAAAAAAAAAAAAGGATTTGAATCGTACAAAGTTCACTGACCACAGTGTAATTAAATTAAAAACCACTAATAGAAGGGTCTCAGGAAAATCCCCCAAATACGCTGAATTTTAAAAACATACTTTTCAGTAACCCATGTGTCAAAAAAGAAGTTGAAAAGGAAACTAGAAAGTGTGTAAGGAAGAAATCATGCCAATTCTATACAAATTCTTCCAGAAAAACTGAAAAGGAAGAAATATTTCCTAGCTCATTCTTTGAGGTCAGAAGATAACCAGAAAAATACCACTACAAGCAAAGAAAATTACAGACCAATATCCATCATAAACATATGCAAAAATCATAAACTAAATTTTAGCCAAATTTAATGATTTATACACATACACGCATACACACTGCACACGCACACGTATCCTTTACATGCAGGTATAAAGAATAATATTAATACTTAATGACCAAGTGTTGTGTATCTCAAGTTGGTTAACATTGAGAAATTGGTCAATCTAATTCACTGTATTAACAAACTGAAAAATATCACCTGATCTTCTCAATAGATACAGAAGAAACACTTAACAAAATAATAAATTATTTATTTATTCCTAGTAAAAATTATCAGTAAAATAAGAACAGTAGAGATTTTCCTCAAACTGATAAGTGGAATCCATGAAAACCTACAGCTGTCATACTTAATGGTGAAACACTGAATGCTTTGTGCCTACAATCAGGTACAAGACAAAGATGTCTTCGTTCATGTCTTCTTTCACCATTGTGCTTGAAAAAGAATGAAAGACATCCAGAGTGGAAAGGAAGAAGTAAAACTATCTTAATTCATGGACAACATGACCATTTTTGTAGAAAATCTGACAGAATCTACAAAAAAGCTATTAGAACTAGTAAGCATCAAAAAATTTAAAATACATAGGTATAAATCTGTTATCAAGATGTGAAAGACCTGTATGCTAAACACTGCAAAGCATTGCTGAGAGAAATTAAAGAGGACCTAAATTAGTGGAGAAACATTTCTTGTTCATGGTTTGGAAGATTCACTATTCCAGATATCAGTTCTCCCTAAATTAATCTATACAATCCTAATGAAAATCTCAGCCAGCTTTTCAAAAAATAGAAATTGACAAAAACTGATTACAAAATATATTTGGAAATACAAAGGATCTAGAACTACTTTGAAAAAGCATCATCTTTATTTATAATAGCCCCAAACTGGAAGCAACCTAAATGGAA